TTGCCCGATTTTGGCATATGGCTGTCTGTCTTCCCCAAACGTTATACTTGGGTTCACCTTTCAGGGATTTTTGAACTGGCGCGTTTCTTGTCATGTATGTATATATATATATCTCTCTCTCTCTCTCTCTCTTGCGCCCCCTGGCGGACTTCGATGACTTCGATATTTTCGGCATCTTCGACCTTCAGGCCTTACTCTGCAAGATTAAAGCTCCATCCAGAAAGGTCCCCAGAATGGCGAAAAAATCGTCAGATTCCAAGAAAAAATCTTTAATTTTCAAAAATCATCAGACTGTCGCTAAGATCTGCAAATTTTCACAAAAATGTCAAACTTTCGCAAAAATCGTTATTTTTGCCAAAATCGGTAAATTTTGCAAAAATCGGCAAACGTTCGCAAAAATTGCAAATGTTCGCAGTAAATTCGCAAAAGAAATGATTTTTTTTTCGCAAAAATCTGTGAATTTTCTATTTTCGAATTTTCGCGTATTCGCCNNGCCCCAAACCGAATCGCGTAAATTTCGTTCATCGTTTCGTTGTCACATGAATCACTGGTGCTCCGGCCAAAAATAAGTCTTTTCAACACACTCCAAAATACGTATACCCCCCAGACCCCCCCCCCAAGACCTCCCCAAACCCTCCCATGCCTTCCAAATCCCTGAACCCCCCAACCTCCTCAAGCGCAGGGTGGGGACAGTCCAAGATGCCCTCAACCCCCCACCACACCCACTCCAGGTTTGTTCCCCAATTTTCCATAAACTTTCCCAGACCTTCGCAAACCTCTCCCCAAGACCACCCTCCCCCCCAAACCTTTGCAGATGTTTAGATTCCCCTCAACCCGCAACCATCCCAACCAGAACCCCCGCTAGACTTAAGTCTCAGAGTCTTCAGACCGCCAGACCTTCCCAAACAGTGCAGACCCATGCCCAGACCGAAAGCAAACCACCCCCCAACCCCCACACCCAGATCCCCCCGACCCCAAGACTCAGACCCCCACTGCAGGGTAAAGACTTCAATCAAGTTCACCTACACCATCCGCCTTGGTTCCCCTCAAGCAAGTTAGAGGGTTTACACTTGACACTCTAGGGTGTAGCGATTCCTTCATGGATTAAGGTTCAAACGGCCCATTGACTCGGTCTGTGTTTGCTGTGTTGGTGCTCGTAGGGTATTATGTTAACGGAACTTTAAATCAGCATGCGGACTTCGTCGGACTTTGGAGCTTTCGGAAGATTCAACGTCAAGGCTGAGAGCTTAGGGTGGGGGAGGTCAGAATATGTTTGCTGCCCAGATGGAGTAGGTCCAAGCCCCACTAAAATCAAAATCCCTGGGCATTGGGTTTTAGTCGGGCTTGGGCCTACTCCATCGTGGCAGCAAGCATATTCTGACCTCCCCCACCCTAAGCTCTAAGCCTTGACGTTGAATCTTCCGAAAGCTCCAAAGTCCGACGAAGTCCGCATGCTGATTTAAGGTTCCGTTAACATAATACCCTACGTGCACCAACACAGCAAACACAGACCGAGTCAGTGGGCCCCTTGCACCTTAATCCATGCCAGATGCAAAAAGCTGGGTGCTTATCCTTTCCCAGCATTGCTTACAGGATTTAGGCATGTGGTCTGGGATTCTGGGTCTACGTCCAACTGTTCGCGCCGCAATCGGTTGCATAGCCTGGCTGCAGACAGTAAGCGCGTGCGAAGCACGCGCGTGTGTCTAGAGCATGTATATATATATATATACATATATATATATAATGTATATAGATATATGTGTGTATATGTATAAATGAATACATATTCATAATATATATATATATATATGAATACATATTAGTATACATAACCCTATCGACTCCCATACAACCCCTATAAACCCTTTTTAGGGTACCCTTAAGTTTGGGGAACCCCCTTATCTGAAGTAATTACCATCGGCGACCAGCCCGGAACCCTAAACCCTTACGCGCATTGTCGTCTAGGGCCTAAGGTTTTAAAGTTTACTTAGGTTTAGGGTTCAGGGTCTCTCAGTGGGCGCCTCAACGGCTCTAAAGCCTGAGGGTTTCCCAAAATTAGCGGTACCTTAGGGATTTACATGGCTTAGGGTGCTTGCCAAAAAAAGGAGTACCATTTTGGGGGGTCCCATAGAGAGGATTATTGCCTTTGGGAATCTAAAATGGGGCCCCCCGATTTTGGGAAAGTACCACCATGATTGAAACCTGCCATCTCCCACAAAGCGGTAGCTCCGTAGGAAACAAGTTGCTTGTTCAGTAAGAAACTGCCTTTTGCCTGCCATCCCTGCGAGTCACAGCTTAGGGAAACCTGCATGGCAGCTTCAACAACACCTGGGGTCACCCTTCCGGGAGCCTGTCTGGTGCGGATGAATGAGCCATGCATGGAGGATGGGCTTTTAGGGGACCCCGGATAGGTTCTTGCACGCTTTCTCATGCTGTGGTCTGCGATCCTGTTGAGTTGTGCACGTCCAATGGCACGCCCCACCAACACCATCCCAACATCCAATCTAGATTGAACACATCTGAGCGTATACCTCGCTCCAAATCCTTACCATGTTTGGAATGACATTTAAACCTGCCCTAGTTTCTTCTACTGACGCGCTGCAGCAAGAGCAACTCCTGCATCCGACTACATAAGAGCAAGCAAATCGGAGCCTGCTACTTCATGTGCTGGGATGCATCATGGTTTCTCCTTTCCTGTGTGCGTCTGGAGAATAATTCTTGCACCTGAGCACTATCAGAATTTGCGTTCCCAGGCGTGCAATCTTTCGCAATGTGACGCTCAATGCACAGATTGGGGGGATGGTGGTCCAGGGGTGGATTGGGGCACCGTGGGTGGGGCATTGGAGAGCCGGGGTGGGGGTTTAGGGTTTATATGTGGTTGTGTACGTTTCTGGTACATACTTGCGCGGTAAGTAGTTCTGTTCGTGCAAATGATGCCGAACACATTCTCCCCTGCCCAGGCTTCATCTGGGGATTTCTCGAAATATGGAGACCTTCGGGACTTCAGGGGTATATGAGCCTATAAGAGGATGATGGGGCTACATCTGGGGGATCCCCTCAGGAACGTCCCGAGAAACTCTTTTGTTCGGCAAAACCCAGTCCTGTCTTCGAGGCATGTAACCCTCGTCCACACCAATGGTCAAAATGCTTCCCATGAGGTCGATTTCCTTGACGGAAGCTGGGCTGGCATGTCACGCTACTGTCACTTCATGGTATTTATGAGAGATTAAATGGATTTTGCCTAGTTTAACTTGGGGCTTCCTTGAAATACCTAGGAAGTAAAACAAGCTAAGCATGAACAGTACAACCCTGAACCTCGGAGCTGCAACATCTGATGCCGACAGACTTCAACAGCCAAACTGGGGTCGAAAGGGCCTACAGGCAATCTTTGGCTCGTCATCTACTGGGCCCATCATAGCTCATGAGAGAATGCCGAGAATCCTCTTGCTGGTTGCATGGCTCAACCTCCCAATGGGCAGGGAAATAGGCGTTCTGAAGCTCCGGGTTGTCATGATACCTGTCACTGAGCTTGGGAGGCATATCATCACCCTTGAAGATCTTTTTGGTCAAGTTAGCGGCTTTCTTGGCTTTGATTATCTTGTCCCACAAGCACTTCTCCAGCGTGTACTTGTTGTCGAACTCATGAGCATCTTCTGGTGAACCCTTCAGCATGGCGAGAATGGCTCGCTCTGCTTGGTCTTTGGCTTGCGAACGGGTTCCGCCTGAATCAGCCAACAACCAGAAACATGCGTCTGCTGTCGACAGAGCCCCAGAATAAACCTAGATACGCAGGTATCAGGGACAAAGAGTTTGGGTTTACTTGAAGCTGAGGAGCCGAATGCCAGGGCACTGAATGTCCTGCTGTCCACATCTATGTCCACGCTTGCGTCCCACCCTCCCTTTTGCCTCTCTCGTATATCCTGCATTGGCACCAGGTGCACATGGGCCAAGATTTGTTTGCATAACTGGAAACAACAAAAGCACAAGAAAACTGAATAGCGGTGCAGCCCCTCCGTCGTTCTTTTGCTGACTGGATAATGTCTTTTCCTTGCTTCTCGAGCGCTGTGGGAGGTGAAGTTGCAATTTTAAAGCCGACCAAAGGACTACAGTACCAGAGATCAGCAAAACGAAAACTTGCAAGAAGAGATGCGAGGTTCCTGCGCCCCCTTCTGTTCTGCTCACTCCTGCCTTCGTGCTTCTGCTGCTTGCAGCTACAGCTACTCTCTGTGGTTCTTCGAGGGACAGGCGTCAAATTTCCTCTAACATTCGGAAACAGGAAGTGCAAGCGCGGGAACCATACGCCTGCAGGATCCGAAGCCATGACACAAGCCCAGCTAAATGGCCGGAAATGCATCGCAATAGCGGCAAACGCGGCATTCCAAACCAGGACCTTTGCAAAAGATGGCCTGCCAGTTCTCCAGCTGCAGCTGTGGCGAATGGACTCCATTTTCTTGCACCACTTCTTCGTTAACGAACCTACTTTCTCATTTTTGCCATCTGCGCATAGAGCTTTGAAGGCCTATGGACCGGGCCCCTGAACGGATACTTCAAGATGAGTGCAAACTTTCCAGCCGGACATAAAACTAATGTGCACTGCAGGCTCAGGGCATCCTCTAAACAGCTGCAGGTTCGGCGACAGCTTGAGTGTCTCCATGGTCTGATTTCTTGCGAGTGATGGAACTTCAAAATTGCCACCCCCAAGAAGTCAGGCTATGAGGAATGCAGATGCACAGCACAAAATGAACAACAAACGCAGACACCAAAACACAACAGCTACTCCGAAAGTGCTGATGCAGCTCCGACCGGCGCAGCAGAAACCCGAACCCAGTAAGCATCGGAGCTCTTGCCTGAATTCGTGCAAGCACAAGCAACCTCTGATCAATAACCAAGCGAGAAGCTCTCCAAATTAGGGTCCGATTTTGGTACATCTCAATGCTAGGTGCTGTAATATAATCTAGAACCAAAAGGGCCCGTAGTTTTGAGAACAATCCATGAGACCTGCAAATCAAATCAAAACCCTATAAGCATTCCTCAACAACAAAGCAGGAATTGTGTTTGCCAGGCCATCACAACCGCAGCAGGGCCCGAACACTGAATTGCTCCTGGGTTGCTTACCTTACACGCTGAAACATCAGGCTTTACGCTAAAGTCATGAAACCAGACCCCTGCGAATCTGTGCCAAGAGCTGGTGGAAGATTCGCTGGGCAAAGGACTCCTGACGTCAACTAGGTACCGTGACTTGACTGCTTTCTGTTCAATGGATGGTGAGGTTGAAGAGGTTCAGGTCTCAAATGCTTTGGATGTTCGATGCCTGGTTGCGTATAAGGGTCTGCCAATCTTAGGAAGGGACGCATGCAATGACCACACAGTTTGGGGATACGGTTGTTGAAAGTTCTGGAAAGCCTGCTTCGATTGGGTTGCAGAACAAACACGGGCAGGGTAAAACAACAGAAACGATCGGATGATGAATCGTGTTGATCATCTTTACAGCAATAGCCTAAGGGGCAGGGCTCTGATTGGCTATCCGGAGAATACAAACGGGCAGCAAACGGTGGATGTCTGCCTCTGCTTCTGCCACCTGGCAGCAGCAAAAAGGACGCAGGAGCAGCAGTAAGAGGCTTCATTTTTAAAGCTATGGGCACAAAGCTGGCCTGAGTAAGTTTTCACTTCAGTGTTGTACCTGCCGAAACAACGTGAAAGAATGTGTCGTGGACTTCTGGGACCATGCCGATGCTGTGTGAAACATGTTTCTTGGCCCCCAAACCACTTTTCTAATACAAGCTCGAGAAGCCTATAACCTCGAAAGTGGGGGTCCCTAGTTTCTGAAAACTCCCATGTCATCTCACTTCAGGTGCTTTGCAGGACGCCCGGCCCCTCCCCTCTGTCTGATCCTGAAGCGACTCCTTGTCAAAAGACTCACTGAACACCCAAAGCTCACTGCTGCCACCCGACACGGGGGTTTCCCAAACTTAGGGGTCCCTCTTTGGTGTTCCCCATAGTGAGGATTTTTCCCCCGTTCATGCAACTTACACATGATTCTGATCATGGGACAAGACTGCGACTGCAGGCCTGGGCGCTGGCAGTCCATTAACACTAAACCCTAAACCCTCGTCCCTATACCCCCCAGCTCTGTCTAACACCGCGCCCTATAGGGCTTACAGGGTCAGGGTTTAGGGCTGTAGAAGGTCTACACAGACCCCACCCTGTAATAGTGGTATGAAAGGAATGTAAGAAACGTACAGCCACTATTATCCCCTATAGGCACTATTACCGGGTGGGTCCACCTATTCCAAACACCCCAAACCCCAAACCCGAATGTCTACCTTGGTCACCAAAGACCGACATGCCCATGAAAACGCCTGGGTACCTATCAGTTTGCCTAGGTAGCTGATCCCAAACGGCAAAAAAGCACGTATGATCACCCGTAGCATGTAGCAAGAACCCTCCAAAAGAATGAGGGACCCTAAACCGTGCGAATTTTGCCACTCACTTAGCTTCGGGGAAATCCCTACATGTCCCAATCACAGCTGAGTCAAAGACGATGGCCGACAGAGTCCGACCACACTTGCCGGAAACAGGGAAACCTTGCTTGGTTGCTCGTATTCATCCACTAAAAGTTGATCTTTCGACTCCCTTAATTTGAAACGGAACCCCTAAGATTGTAGCGCTGAAGCTGTGATGATGAATAGGCTACCTTGCTTTGAGAGCGATCTTTGAGCTCAGGCTTTCAGGTTTTAATGTGCTACTGCGATCATCGCTATGACGACTACAGTGGATGGAGGGAATCCAGATAATTACATCTTGCCTTAGATTTCATGGTAATACGTCTATACTTCCCAACTTGGGCTTAGGGAATAATAACATGTACAGCCAAATTTCCTGCATCAGCAACACCGCTGTAGTTGCCACTCCTCTGCTACTGTTGCTCATGCAGCTGATTAGCTGCAATTTCCTTTTCGCCAAAGGTGTTTGGCTCGTTTGGAATGGCCACTAGGCATGCCTGGATTTGGCGATAGTGTTCCACAAAATTTGCCGAGCCCTTTGAAGTCAGTTGAACACTACTGAAGCATACATCGCCGGCACAGTACGCGGGGACCTGTCAGCGTCTTCCGCCCCCGCTTCTGAGTGGAAAGTAGCAGGAATTGCTGAATGAATGGGCCTTGTGTCGAGCTTCAGCTTTGAGATGTAAACACCAAAAGAGTTGAGGCAGATGCATAACCGCATAATAAGCAATGCAAAGGAGCATCCTCCTCAGGGATCGAGAAAGCATACTCCTACATATGCTGAGGGTGTTGAGATCGAGAAAGAATACTCCTACATATGCTGAGGGTGTTTAGAACAAAGCTACCCTAAACCCTAAGCCCTCAACCCCAAGAATGGGCACCCAGCGGAATTAGCAAACTACCTTGCCGTCAAGAATCTGCATAAGAGAGGCTTAGAATAACAGACTCCGAAAATTCTCAATGCGCGCAAAAGACCACAATTGAGACAGCCATGTTCGGGGGAAATCTTAACAAAAAGGGCTTGATAGCAGCATGGTAAGAAGGTCTCCCAGAATTGGGACACGCACTTTTAAACGTAGCTGTGAGTGGTGGTAATGATTCCCGAATTGCTGAGGCACTAGCTCATCATCCTCGCACAAAGCTGCCTTTTGCAAGGGCCAAGTGTCGAAGCAATAAGTATGGATTGGGAGGACCCCCCACCCTGTAATAGTGACTGTTCCTATACTCCTATTATACCAATAATACAGGGGCGAAACCCTAAACCCTAATCCCTGGACCCTAAACCCCGGGGTCCTCCTAAAGTATGGAATACAATATGTATGGAATTTAGCCTAAAAGTCGACTGATCTGTTACTGGCATGGCTGTGCACGCTACTGAAGAACGCAATGCTATGGAACCCTCTGGCAATATTTTGGGGTTCTATTAAGTATATTTTGGGGTTTTATAGGGTATATCTTGAGGTTATATAGGAGATATTTTGGGGTTATATAGCGTATATTTTGGGGTGATATCACCATGACGCAAAGACCGCAAAACTCACTTCATATCGCAGTCTTCGGGAATTGCCCATGTTCTCGGTTTCAACGGCGGCTTCGACTGGTACGTCAGGGTTTCCTAGGGCTGCTTAGGGTTCACGTACGCTTTAGGATCTCCCTGATCTAGGGGTCCTTCCTGGGGGATTCCCAAAATTAGGGTACGTTTTTCGGGGTCCCCATCATAAGGATGTCTATGTTGGGGTCCTCTATTTTGGGAAATCACCTTACTTATGGGGAGTTCTGGTAGTGGTGGGTTTCGGCTACTTCTATCCAAATTTAAGCTGCTAGTCCTAGAAGCGCTGCTTGCTCCCCTGCTTGGCGCGCACAGGATACGCACAATTGAAATCATACTTGGGGGAGTAGGAAGCTTGGGTAATCGGGTGGTGACTCGACTTGACTACACTCCCTAAAGCCCTACACCAAATTGGGTTATACGACTTACTCTGGGAAGCCAGTGGAGTGCTAGCACGTAAGCCAGCCCTCCAAATCCTTAACCTCCCTAAAGCTATTACGGAATCCCAAAAAAGCCCTATCCAGATACTTTCAACATGTGTCTATACGGGATTCCATGTTCCTCCAAAAACCATTGAAGCTGACACCTTACGAAACCGATAGACGCAAAGAGTCCAAAGCCAGGATGGGGAATCATTGCTACATGGCTTCCAACCCTAAACCCTAAACAGCTGTTTGTTCCGTGCCCAATTCCAGGCCGTCCGAGTATAGACGGTCAAGGTTTAGACGCCCAGCCAAAGTAAAGCCCATGGTGAAAGGGTCTATAGGGTTTAGGGTTTAGGGTTTAGGGCTTGGGTCTATAATCCCCGTTAAGTAGATGGAATGTTAGTGCTATACTTTGGGACAATGCAAAAGAAAATGGAAACGACTATTTGGCATTTAGGGTTTAGGGTATAGTCCCCCTTAACTAGATAGAATATGGCTTTGGGTATATTGTAATAATAAGATCCCCATACACCCCATATTCTGTCTACTTAAGGGGGACTATATGTCGGAAAGCTTGCAGCTTGTTAGTTTCCAAGCTTTTCCAATGCAAGGCACAACGAATACACAAAATGTATTCAGATCACGCACGACGCGCAGAAGCGGCCTCCAAACAGTATCATATAGCTATTTAGAGGCC